TGTTGTTGGGATGACTTGTATAGGCCTTCTCACACACACACCGTCTGGTCGAGGCAACGACCGACAAACCGACGGACCGAGTGAAAGCATTGCCTGTGCAAACGGGCAAGATGCCACCGTACATTAGCTCTCTGATTGGCTGAGAGGTCAGTCGATCCTGCTCAGACTACTGACCAATCAGAAAGCAGCAATTAACCGAAAGCTGAATCACCCCATCGTCCAGTTGGGAATCGGATAAAAAGGTCCGATTCACCAAAGTTTCTCTACACTTTAGCGCAAACCGACACTTTCGTGGGCACTGGACTGGCACACGTCCAGCCTTGTTCAGGGCAAGCCCAACAATTTGCGTTGGCAGGTGTCGCTCGGCGTTGAAAGTGAAGCCGAATGCTCTTGCAATCGTCCACCCACTCACGATTGGTCAGGCTTCGGGAGAGCCTGTGACATGTCCCAATGGCTCAAGTACGTCTTAGTTGCCCCAACGACTGGACTATCCGCGGCTAAATTTAGCTTCACATTTTCACGCAGGCCAAACTTGACGTCGGTGCACTTTGCCTGTCTTTTTTTGCCCTGTCCTGACTTGCCTTGCATTTCCTTGACTTGCCCTACCTTGCCTTGATTTATTTTGTTTTGTCTTGTTTTGTTTTGTTTTGTTTTAGTTTGGTTTGGTTTGGTTTGATTTATTTTGCTTTGTTTTACTTTGCAATTATTCACTTTCCTCTTCTTCACTCTTATTTGCTTTGCTCTTCTTTACTTTCCTCCTCTTTTCTCTTCTTTGATTTGCTCTTCTTTACTCCTATTTGCTTTTCCTTGCTCTGCTCTGCTTTCCTGTGCTCTTCTTTGTTTTACTTTGTTCTTCTTTCCTCTTCTTTAATTGGCTCTTCTTTTCTCTCCTTTTATTTGCTTTTCTCTTCTTTACTTTACTCTTATTTAGCCTTTTTTATTTTACTTTGATTTGCTCTGCTTTGTCTTGCTTCCTATTTCCTCTCATCGTCCAAAAGGAAATCCATTCAGCCCTACTGATCAGCGGATAAGAAAAACACATCCTAGCGCCTTGGCCAGTCAAGTAAACAAGCCTAATTTAAGGCTTATAGTTCTGATAGAGCACACAATTTTATAAATGTGTAGAGTCGGCTAAACAGCAGAATTGTGGTCACATTTTATTGTGCCCGTCTGTGCATATAAGTGCCTGTTTATGGGAATTCATTTGATGGGGTTCATGCAGGAATTGGCTGCTGCGTCTATAGATACCGTCGTGTGTGTGCAGTACTAAGCTTCTGTGTGTGTCGGTAACCGTGAACAATTTTACGTGAACCGGGGTACACATTGGGTTAAGGGTTACGGAGAATTTCTGTTTCACCTTTATGTTGCCCCTATTGTGTATAGCGTTAATATTTTCATCTTACACTAAATAGAGTGAATACAACTCATATAAAAATGTATTGCCCACACATTTTTCACCTAGATTCGACAATAAGACATTTCCAGAAAAACTAAATTTCATTAGAAAAAAGAAACTGACATCGACCCTTGATGAAATAATATTATAAATGGATTTGAAGTTGAGCTTAAAACTGATAACCAAATTATCTCCAAACTTATATGCTTTTTTTAAATTTGGAAAATGCTTGACCATTTTTTTTATAGAGCTGGGTTTTCAAGAAATACAATAATTGCACACATCCTAATTCGTCTAAGGTGTTGGATAACTGGCAGATAAATTTGCTTCAATAATATGAGGAAACCTCAAGTTTTTATTGAATTTCACACAGTCGTGCTTCTCAAAAGATATTCTCATCCCAGTTGGAGTCGACTGTAGTTTTAACCTTGCCTGAACTAGTCTCATCAGCATCCTCAGAGGTGCTGATGGGGTGAATACAACTCTTGTCAAAAACAAATCAATAACATTTAAGATAGGGTGAATACAACTAATTTAAGATATACAGAAGAAGATGCTATTCGCACTGGTCTGGTTACAGTCACATAAGCCCAACAAATATTCAAATGTCGTATCCTTGAAGAGACATTGAGGAATATGGCATTTACTACATTTGCCTAAGTTGTTGACCTGTTCCTTCCAAAATCATATCATTGACTTGGTACACAGTCAGAAGTTAACTGACAGCGGAATCACCACTA